ATTAGAAAATATTTTGAACAGAATGCTAAATAAATAAAATATGACATAACAAAACTTGTGGGATGCAGCTATTTGGCCCTTAGAGAGAAATTTATAGTTGTCAATGCATATACTGTGTTAAAGAACAAAATTTGACAGAGTAATTCAAAGATCTAATTGGCTTTATTAAGCAATTCATGAATCGGGCAGCATCCTGTCTAGCAACTAATAGGGAGCTCTGATGAGTTGTACAAAATGGAAAGTTTTTATAGGCAGAAAGAGGGTGGGACTAAGAAGTTAAAAGAATGGATTATTTCAGGCAAGGACACCTTCAAGGGGAAGATGGGAGTGGGGGAGGGGGGCTGGGGGGCTGGTCATATCAGGTAGATTACCTCACCAGTGCTGACCAGGAAATTCCAGACTGGTTTAAAAACTCCACTCCTGGGAGAGTCTGGAACTGCAGTTAGGTTAGTTATTAAGTTTTGGTTTGGTGATGTGCCTTAGCAAAAGTGACTCCATTTTGGCCTGTTGCTTCTTTTTTTAACAACTTTAAAAGATTAAAATTGAAATGAAATTATCTATTCTCTTTTAAGAAAATAAAACAGTAAATAAAAAACCCAAATATAGATGGAAAGAATAATAAATATAAGAGTAGGAATTATGAAACAGCAGACATACAATGAAGAAAAACAGCATGAAATTGATAAACCACTAAAAAGACTGATCAAGAAAAAAGGAGAAATTGCAAATTACTAACATTAAGAAAAAGAAGACAGCCTTCAGAGCTATAACTATGAAAAAGAGGATAGTTTGAGCAATTTATGCCAACACTATAACTATGAAAAAGAGGATAGTTTGAGCAATTTATGCCAACACATTTGATAATGATGAAATGGACAAATCCATTTATATAAAGTTCAAGAAAAGAATACTCATAGATGGTGATTTTCCATTAGAATAGAGCTCCTCTCTGGAGGGGACCAGTAATTTATTAAACTGTACAATTAAGGTTAGTGTACTTTGATAAGCCTCGATACATTAAAAATTATAGTAAAATATACATAAAATTTGCCATTTTAAATTGACATTCACGATATTGTGCATCCATCACCACTACCCATTTCCAAAATTTTTTATCATGCCAAACAGAAACTCTGTGCATATTAAACAATAATTTCCTGTCCCCTCCTCTATCTAACCCCTGGTAACCTCCGTTCTATTTTCTGTCTCTATGAATTTGCCTGTTCTAGGTATCCTGTATAATTGTTTTTGTCTTTAAACCAAATTGAAAGGGGAAGAAGACAGTGAGTGAAAACACTTCCTGAGAAATTTGACTGTGAATAGAAGATACAGGGTAGCTGGCAGGGATGAGAATGGATGCTTTGTATTTTTTTTTTTTAAAGATTTTTATTAAAATATAGCTAACATATTGTATTAGTTTCAGGTGTACGCCATAGTTATTCAACATTTATATGCTGAAAGAAGTGATCACCATGATAAGTCCAGCAACCATCTGACTTGGTACGACGCTATCACAATATTATTGACTGTATTTCCTGTGCTGTACACCATATCCCCATGACTTATTTGTGTTTTACTTGTTTTTTTTTTAAGATGGCTATGATTTGAGCCTGAGTCAAAGCTGAAGATCTCTGTGAAAGGGAAGTTGACTATCTGAGGTTTGCAAATGCATGGTAAAATCAGGGCACTAAAGAGAGCAGAGACAGAAGAAGAGGGTGAGAGTGAGCACCATCATGGTAGTGGAAGTTAAGGGCAAGATTCTGAAGGGAATCATTTGTCAAGATAAAATTTGCACTTTAATAATCATCACCATCAGGATTTGAATACCTTTGCTAGGCACTGGCAAGATATTACAATAACCCAGCAAGATAGATATTATCTCTATTTTACTAGTAAAAAATTAGAGAAGTCATGTGCCAAAGATCAATTTTTAGTGGTGAAGAATAGAGTGAAGAAATAAGATGGAGTCACTATAGTCAAATAGCTAAATTACTGAAATCAAGCAGAATGAGGTATGAAAAAACACTTCTATTTTTGTTTCAATTAGCTTGGGAACTTAAACTATGAACTTTCCAGTCCTACATCATTGCTTGGATATACATCAAATCTCCAAACAACCCTCTGATTATCCCTTGAAGGGCTAAGGAAAGATTGTTCACATAGCCAGACCACCTGACATCCATTATCCAGAGCTCCAGTCATCTAAAGTAGGGGTCCCCAATGACCGGGCCGCTGATGGTACTGGTCTATGGCCTGTTAGGAACAGAGCTGCACAGCAGGAGGTGAGCTGAGGGGAGGCAAAGCTTCAGCTGTATTTGCAGCTTCTCCCCAGCACTAGCGTCACCTCCTCAGCTCCACCTCAGATCATCAGGCATTTGATTCTCATAGGAGCACCAGTCCCTGGTGTTAAAAATGTTGGGGACTGCTGCTTTAGAGGATTACTATCTCGGACAAAGTCTGAGGCTAAGAATACAGGACTGATTCTTTCTAGGAATGTATTTTACTGTAAGAACCCTCAGTTTTTCTTCTTCAAAACATTCTGGATATTGCCTAGTTATTTCCAGTTTGTAAACCCTGAGACCCTTGAAGAAATCTTTATCATTTATCCCCAGCCAAAGCCTCCAGACTCTTTTTGAGTTTGTTGGACAGTGGGTAGGCTGGGATCCCAAACCAGCTCCTGTCTGGGAATGGGCTACAAGTCGAAGTTCTAATATCCCAACTTTATAACTAATTCTTTTTTTCCCCCCTTTTTAATTCTACCCCCCCTCCCACTTCCACCCCTGACCTATGGATGTTGCCAGTTCCCCTTAAGAACTGGCTCTCTGAAGGCGGGGCGTCCCCTCCCACATGTTCACAGCATGCACTTGGGGCCTGGTGCACCCGGGGCATGGTCCATGGCTAAACCTGGGGCGTGAACTCAGGATCTTGTGCATGTCAAGCAGACGTGCTAACTGCTACACTATGGAGCCACGCCTATAACTAATGCTTATTCTGGCATCTCATTCAAAAACCTCTAAGTATGTAGATCCTTTCCCTCCATACCCTTCTGCCATCAATTAATTCCTATAGTTTGTATTTCAAATCCTTCTTTATACCTTTGTCATCATGGCCCTAACATTTGATTCCTATCTGTCCTGATGTCCTGGACTCCATTCTCTTAATTCTCTCAAAAGTTCAGAAATAGACAAAATAAAAACAATGAATTGCCAAAGTAGTAATTAGTACAAGTTTATTGTGCACACACCTAAAATACAGTTTGCAAACTGGGAGTTCTCAAATCAAAACATGGAATGAGGCTCAGGGGTTTATTGTTATAAAGCAGCTTATATAATGAGAAAGTGTTACTGAGCTGAACTGAACCAAACAAGGGCCACTTGGCCAATGTGCAGCAAAACCAAACACTGAACATCAAGGTTTGCAATGGAGAAATTAAAGCTGTTTTATTTGCAAGGCGCCAAGCAAGGAGAATGGGAAGCTATCGCTTAAAACCCGAATACCCCAATGGCTTTTAATCAAAAGGTTTTAAAGGCAACGATTGAGGGTTAGAGGTTAGCGGGGACAGGCTGGTATGCAGCACTGGTGGTGCAGGTTTTGTTTGGAGAGCTTTGAAACCTGGCTATTTATGATAAGATATGTAGTAAGAGGCTTTTACACCAGATTTTGCACAACAGACCCTTCACTTCTGCAAAAGTTTCCTCGTTTCCAGTCATGTCCTAGTCTTTGGTTCCGTGAGGCGGGGTGAAACTTTGGCTCCAGATGTAGCTGGTCAAAGTTCTCTCCTCTGCACATGCTCTGGCTATGACTTGCTGTTTTGGTCTGTTGACTGAAAGACAACTCAGTATCTTGTTAGAAAAAGGATAGAATCATTTTGAGTTGGTTCTACGGTTACAAATGCAGTGACTGTTTATTCTTCAGTGATTGGTTATATTAGAATTTTCAGTGGTTATCTTATGTCAACCTTGAGAAATAGTTCAAGTTTTGCTTATAATTTCCTAAAACATAAGTAAGAAATGACCCAGGTCAAGTTAGTCTTGCAAAATAAGCTAAATTAAGCTTTGTTCATATGATTAAACTGGTTTTGTCTGTTCAGAATTTTCAAGGTTGGTCTTTTTGTTTTTTTCGCACTGCCATCTATCTTTAACACCAATGCCAGATTCATTTTTCTAAAACATTCATTATGACGAATGCCTGCTCAAAATGTGATTCCTTATTGCCTAGAGTTGTGGTTCCCAGGCATCTTTGGGCAGCAAACTCACAGGGTTGCCATGGAATATTTTAAACTTTTGGGGGGATCACAGTGATACTTGACATCTCTTAGATAACAAATGAACTACTAGCTTGAAGTAGGTCAGTTTCAACATCAGATCACACTACATTCCTTTTAATGTCAAACAGGGGAATGAAGGCAGGAACAATCCAATTTGATTCTAAGGTTTGAGAAATTAAGCATTGCCCAACTTCCCATTAGTAAATAAGTGGTTATTTAACAATGAAATATATAAGCAAATTTTTCTTTAGATTTGTGTATTACTTTTTCAAATAACTATTAAATTGTTAGGATATAAGTACTTATTGTCTGGATATAATTACTTGGAGTAGAACTGTTAGGTATTTCTTTCGGTGTGTCAAAAAATATTACTGAGACACTAGGGGCATCATGAACTGAGAAAGTTTGGAAACCTCTGGCTTAAGATGATAAAAACCTATACTTCTTAGCCTGGCATTCAAGTTCTTCAAAACTTCTGGTAACACCATATATCCCCCACCCCCACCGTTATTCCCTGGCTCAAATTTTTCTCCAATACTTGCTTGTTTGACCTTGGGAGAATCAATTTAACTTCTTTGAGCAAATTTCCCCAGCTGTAAAGAGGAGTAATAGTGCTTACCTTGAATAATTGTAATGAGGATTACATGAGAATGTACATAAGGAGAAACATAAACACCACATATGGCATATTACAAGTGCTCAATTAAGTGTTGGACATAAACAAACCCCTCTCATCTGAACCCTCTCAATAAGCCCAACCAGTATTCTTACTCGGTTCTATAAATGGATATTCCCTTTTTTTTTTTTCTCCAATCTTTCATTTTATTTTATCCCTAGAGGTTTCAATGATCCCCTCCTTGGGTTTGATTAATTTGCTAGAGCACCTCATAGACTCAGCAAAACGTTTTTACTAGATTACCAGTTTATTTTAAAAGGATATAACTCAGGAACAGCCAGATGTAAGAGATGTGTATGTGGGGAAAGGATGTGGAACTTCCATGCCCTCTCTAACCATGCCACTCTCCTCAAATCTCCACGTGTTCACCAACCTGGAAGGCCCTCAAATTTCTAGCTGGCCTTTCTCTGTTACTTTTCTTTCAATCCCCGGTCTACCCCCATCAAGCCTTCCCCAAGCAAACTAGCCTGTAGTTCACTAACTCCTATAGGATACAACTATTATCACACAGCCTATTGTATTTTTTTGTTATTTAACTTGTATATCACCTGCATGTTTTGTTTCACCAAATAGACTGTAAACATCTTTGAGGTTAAGAATGTCATGCTACATTAAAGTTTCCTATAGCATCTAGCAAAGTGGAGGGTGCAAATCAGTATTTGCTGAGTTTATGTATAAATGTGGTCAGGCTCCAGATCAGATTAAACACCCAGAACACAGCTACATGTATAATAGGCAGAGGGAGCAGAGTAGAGGTCGGAAGGAATAAAAGGCAAGGGTGCACAAGTGCTGGCTGGTGGCACAAAGTTGAATTGTGAGGCAATGGCCCCTTGGTGAGACCAGGCCATGAGAGAACAGGGTCTCTACATTGGGAAAGATGGGTAACAAGACATTGAGATACATTCTTAGGAGTTAACTAGGGAGGCATGATAAGGAGGTGAGGATCCCACAAATGAATTTTCGACTCTTTCCAAGAAGGAAGTAGAACTTTTTGGGGGGGCCAGAAATTGCAATTAAAAATTCACTTGGGGACTGCCCTTCTAGTTGCTAGATAGGATGCTGCCTGATTCGTAAATCGCTTAATTAAAGCCAATTAGTTCTTCAAAAAATATTCATTTGGATGAACAATCTTTTAAACTATAAACATCCTGGAAATAGGTAGAAAAAAAACATTTGGCCCATCTCACTGGCAAGAATTAGCTGGGTTTCCACCTCCAAATATTTGGGACATAGCCAACTGCATGAATGTTTGTGTGTGAAAGCTAAGAATTTCAGCCCTGTTAAGCTAGGCTGGGAGCATTACTTGGCTTGTTGGCGTGGCTCTGGGTAGCCGCAGTAATGCTGAATGGTGGGGGGAATTAGGTGAAAAAAACCTGGGAGGTGCAGAAAAAATGGGACTTGGCCAAAGCCTGTCTGGTTTGACTAAGAAACCAGGCCGTGCCTTTGGTAAACCAGGAGGGTCGGCCTGGTTAAGGATCCATTGGGGCCAGGTCCACGATTGGCTGTGTAAAACAAATTGCAGGTATATAACCATGCCTAGGAATGAAGGAGAACACAGGCGGCTAGTGCCACAAACTTGGTGGACAGACTCTGGCACCCACTGCCACAATAGGGAATACCCTCAGAAGACTAATATTCCTGGAAGATGGGGTAGGGGTGGAGCAGGTGGGTAAGCACAGAGTACTTAATGAGTAGAAGAAAAATATTCTGGGTAAAATCAGAACTTGTTAGATTAGCTCAATAGTATTCAATGGACAGTTTTAGGTTAAAAGCCTATTTTCATTTCTCAATGTTGTAATCCAAATAGAAACAGAAATATTTATTTTAAAAGTAGTACTTTATAAAAAAAAAACGAAGTGATTTAGATTAAAAGCTCCAAGGTATATTGTTTCAGGTAGGTGTTATTGCTATCTATACCTTTACCCCATTTATTAAGCCATTTCAAGTAACTTCATGTTCATAAATTTACGATGAGGTATAGAGCCCAACCAAGATGGAAAGGAATGTGTTCCAAGTTAGAAGAGAACAGCATGGCTCCTTAACGATGCCTCCTGTGGAGCACCTGCGCTCCACTGTACAATTAGGGGTTAGGGGTTTCTTCCCACACAATCGAATGTGACTTTTTGGATCCTCTGGCCGTGGCTGGTTTAGTCTCTTGGTTCTAATGGTGTGCTGTTTTGTTGCTTAGGAGTTGATCCAAGGTTCCAGGCCCTCCTCTTGTAGAGCTCAATTACGTACATGTGAGGTTCAGAAGAGCTGGGCAATCTGAAGGTTGGGAACACTTGTTTAAAGGAGGAACCACCACTCCAGCATAAACTGTCCTTAATTCTACTGCAGAAACTGTTTTCACTCTGGGGATGGTGAGTCCTAGAAGATCATGGCCAAGAGGCAGATGTCCTTTTAGCGGCTTCCTCTGAGAGTTTATCTGAGGGAGCCAAGTGGCCACTTGCTTTTTATCACAATTCTAATAGCTGCTCCATTTCCTCAAGAGCTGTTGTAAAATCATTTACTTGACTGTTACATAAGGTCTGCTGTTCTAGGAACCGAGCCCTCTCTTCTTCTTTCATCTTCAACTTTACTTTTAAAGCCTGAATTTGGAAAGATATTCAAGAAGAAAAATAAACAAACAAAAAAAACAAAAAACACACAAAACTTTGACCCCCAGGAAAGAACATTATGCTTCTATTCCACTGAGAAAGAACACAAGAATACTGACCTATTTTTTATCTTAGTTTTGTTTTATCTGTGATTTTAGGAACTGTCCTTTTCTACTACAGACTCTTCTATCTAAATTGGAACAATGAAATCTTCTAGGATTCAGTGTTATATCCCATGACTCATCCAAGCCACCCAAAGCAATCCAGACCTAAGAAGCTGGGTTTCCTATTACAGGTTTCTATGAGGTATCAAGTTTCCATAGCACGGATTTCACACAGGTCTCAACTTTCAACTCTGAGCAACCTAGTGTGTTCCATGTTGCTTCATGCCCTGCAGATGCGAACATTTCTAAGTCTTTAGAACAGAAAAATAAAAAGGTGAAATCAAATGAAGTCTTGGAATTTAGTTAATAGTAATGCATCAATGTTGGTTTCTTAGTTTTGACAAATGAACCATAAGATAGTAATATTCAGTGAATTGAATTCTCTGTATTATCTTTGCAACTTTCCTGTAAAACTAAAATAAATAAATAAATAAATAAATAAATAGATAGATAGATAAATAAATAGATAGATAAATAGATAAATAAATAAATATGAACCCTCCATAGATCTACCTATTGTGGCATGAAATGATGATAATCTTGCCTCAGGGTGATGTCTATCTCTCACCTGTAACTCCTCCATCTGCCTTTTGGCTGTTTCATTAAAAAGCTTCAGCTCATCTTGCAAAGTTTCTAACAGCAACTAAGAGAAAAGTATAATGTAGTAACAAATCTTTATTGAAATGTGAACATTTTCTTCATATAAACCAATCTCTCTGAATGAAAGGAGAAATAAATTAGATGACTGCTAACATCTCTTCCATTCAGTTATTTGCTGAGCATCCAAACACACATGCCAGGCTCTCTGCTGGGCACCATAGAGAAACTCAGTTCACTGGATAGACAGATTACCCCTTTTCCATCAGGCTCTGCTACACAGGCAATATGAATAAAACATAGTAGCCATTGAAGGTGTAACTAATAACCTAGGAGAGCTGAGGAAGGCTTCCATATCTGGTATTCTATGATTCTAAAATGACAACTGATCTTCTTGGGGAGGAGATCATAGAAGCTCAAAAGATGTTCGTCTCAAACAATTACCTTCCTACTTCAGAGAAGGAACCAAGGAGGAGCCAAATGTAATTTAAGCTGAACCTTTGCATCATACAGTTTTCAGCAAAGGAATAAGGAGAAAAATTGGTTAAAGTGTACAACAGAGAAACCAGAAAGCTCTCTATACAAGTCCATCCTATTATGTGTTTTAAAGTAGTATTTCAACTCAGACTCACTCATATTTGTAAGCACAAAGTCACCTGCCAAGTAAAATAAGCTATTCTGAGTACACATCCATTGCTCCCTTCCACTATCCTGGCTTACCAAAGGCTGCTTCTTGGGGTTTACTGAGCATATGGCAGTATGGCAGAGATCTTAAAGTCACAGAGCCCAACAGTCACTTGGCCTTTGCTCACTCACACCCATGCCCTCACCATAGAGTCCGTGTGATCCGTGGTGGATTACTCGCTGCCTAAAACTGATGGAGACAACAAGGTCAGCCTTGCTTTGGGAGCTGTACTTAAACATAAAATAAAACCCCTCTAGAGCAAGCACAGGAGTTTTCATGAAGGCAAGTTCTCCACGTAGCTGCTCCCTCTCCCCCTTTTTCACCTTGGCAGGGTCACCCATGCCTGCTCTCCAGAGCTATATTTGACTTTCTTCCTCTCTAGGTTTGCATATGGCCACCCAAAATTCATTCTACTTTCTCCTCAGCTCTGCAGAAAATTGCTCCAAAGGAAAAGTATAGGTTGGATTTTTTTGTTTTCAAAACACAAAACTATTTTTAAAAGCTGTCTCAGGCCTGAAAACATTCCTTAATTCAAAGAAGCCTGGGCCCCTTCCCTGGGCATTCTCAGGCCCCTCAACTCAGCCTGAGGCCCTCTTACAGTCCTCTTTGCTATAGACTCTGTAAAGGGACAGAGTAAGAACCGGAATCACATTTTAACCACTGTGATTCTGCTGATTAACCCAGTTTGGGAACCCTTGAAACAGTATTATCTTTCCCTCCTCACCTGGGAAAGTTACCTGTATGCTCTTTTCCTTGAAAGAAATAAAACATTTCTGGTCTAATTTGCAAGGTCATACTTTTTGGCACCAAATGAATGGCATAAAGTGTTCTGTTAAGAACACGATAATCCTCTCACGACCACTGAAAGTCTGTTGGTCAGGCACAATCAACATCACAAGAGAACAAAGAGGAGCTCCCCAAAATCTTTAGAGCTTTGCTAGGCAACCCATTCATGGACTGGGCCAGCTGCTCCCATGCTGGATTCCTGACATATAGTTCAGGAGGGGGCATGTGCACTGATTCCTTTGAAGGCCACCATGTGCTATTTCTTACCTGGGTTGAGGCCCTTGCTCTCCAAAATTGCCAAACAGTTGTCCTGAAACTTCTCCAGCAGCTCCACCTTTTGGGTCAGGTCCTTCAGCTCTCCCTGTTGGGGTGCCATGTAGACAGATCAGGCCTGTCCCACCCCTCAGGGGTGGTCTTAACCTCCCTTGCTCTTGGACAGCCATGGCACGAGCCTGGTGTCTTTGCTCTCTGCTCTTGGGTACCTGGGCTTTACAAGCTTGCTCCCACCTGAGTGGCTGTCCCTCAGGATTCCACATGCAGCACCCAGTGCAGGTGATGCAGAGGTCCAGTGGGTCTCTTACCTGAGTTTCAGTCAACTTCTGGTGCAACTGCTTGTTGACAGCCTCTAAGAGCTGGTTCTTATCCTTGAGCTCTTCCTCTGATTTCTGCTTACTCAGTGGTTTGTAGCTGTAATGATAATTGTACTTATATGAAGACGTAGAGAGGTTAAGAGTATGGGTTACAGAGTCTCACAAACAGGGGTTCAAATCTTGGCTTCATTACATAGTAGTATATGACCTTCAGTGAGCTGCATAACCTCTCTGAGGCTGTTTCCTCATTTCTAGAGTTAGGATAATACCTACATCTCATATTATTATTGTGAAGGATAAGAGAGAATTACATGTACAATTCTGAACATAGCTATTGAAACATAAATAATAGCCACTATCATCATGAATATTAACCATTTTCAAAATCCTCAGAGTCCTTCTTGATAGTATTATGTTTTCAGAACTTTTAAGACACGCCCAGATGTGGAATTAGAAAGTATTTCCACAAACTTTTCAGCTTATATTATTCAGGACTGCAAAATGTCCAAGCTAGCCTCAAAAAGAGAAAGATGAACCCTTCTCCAGGATTTTGCCTTCACCAGCACCTGCACTACCACCAGAAACATCATCTTGAAATCACTAACCGCATGCAGCCCCTCCTATCCTGAAGGTTTCACACTCCTATTGATGGGACATAGCTGGGTTTGATTTCCGGTCAGTAGCGGTCCTGGTGTGGAGCCCAAAAAGCTTTTGTCTGGCACTTAAGACTGTAGCATCACTGATCTTGCTCTGACAGTGTTTCTCAAACCTGGCCATGCCTCACCCCTGAAAATCCCATTCAGATTTCCGGGGTGGCACCCAGATTGTAACACATTAAACAAGTCCAGGAATGATTCTGATGTACTTGAGATCTACTACCCTAAAATGGCGGCCAAATTTCACTTATCCTGATGTTCACCTCTTTTTGATGTTCTTCTTGATGGCAATATCTGCAGCTTTCACCTGACTAGAGAAGCGAAAACAAAGAAATCAGGATGTTGACTTATTGTGGTGATCATTTTGCAATATATATAAATAGTGAATCATTATTATATACTCTTGAAACTATAATGCTGTATGTCAATTATATCTCAATTAAAAACGACAACAAAGGAATCAACCAGAGAATCACAGTATGTTGTTAGGTGTGTTGTGAAGAAAGCAGAACAAAGAGCCTAGTTTTTTGAGGAAAAAAACAGAGACTACATACAATGCAAAAAGCACAAGCTTAAGAAGCTCTGAAGGCCCACGAACTTTTGTTTTGGTCCAGACAATTGAAAAAGGCTTATTAATAGGGAATGAGCTCCCCTCCTGACCACTTTGACAACCTGCTCAAAATAGCGTGGCTATCTCACGTCATCCTCACTTATGTGGGGACTGAGCACTGGGTGGAGGGACACATACACACACTGGACCGGACTGTGCTCAGACCAGCAACATAAGCTAACAACTAGCCCCGACTCACCTTGACACCCAATTAGGGCTGGTGTTTGATCACAGTAATGCTATTTGTATACTCAGAGCAAGTGGTAAGTAAAGAAAGAATACTTCTTATCATAATCCTTGCTGTGCCTTTTCAGAGCTAATCAATCTACAGGGTCCTGACAAACTTGTCAGCAATGCTACACTTCTCTGGGTCACTGACTACAGACAGGCCAATTGTTCAGGTGTCTTGTGCTCTCAAAAACTATTTTCTCATTCTTGGTACTGAGCAATTTCTAGCAAGATGTTCTAACTGGATAACTGGATCTGACTCACCCCTTGTCTCGTCTTGATTTGACGATTTTTGTAACATCATTCTCTGAACTTCCTGAATGAAGAAGTCTGGAAACATCGACTTCTTTGGACTTAACAGGTAATAGGCTCTTAGAAGTGGCTCGAGCTTGTGTGTCTGCAAAGGAAAACAGGACAGTGAAACCTCAAGCATTGTGACCCAACAGCTGTAACTCTATAACTAACAGGACTCCATTCTAAGCTATTAGAAACCTGTATTTCATTCTGACCAATCTCGATTTGTGTATATTAATTCAGAAGACTTCTACGCTAATTGGGGAGAGATACCAAAATTCCTTAAATGTGACAGTGCAGTGTTTAAAAGTAGCTGAAAGCTTGATGACACATCAAACTGAATGACCAGAGGTATAAATGTGAAAGTGGAGGTTGATATAAGCAGTGGGGCAGTCAGCTGAATCCTTCATCAAACACCAGTGGAATCGAACAACCTCATTAAGCTCCTAAGCACTCTGCACGCTCTGCAAAGGCTACTCTCAAGCTCCTTTGAGTTTCTCTTTTAACTACTGCTTAGTTGTACCAGACTGTCTCCCTAACTACTCTAAAATGTCTCTGTATCCCCAGTGCTTAAGAGAGTATCTAACTTACCAATAGAGGTTCAATACCTGCTTGTTGAATAAATGGGACATTTCACAGTTTCATGGGTTGTTTCACAGACCATCACAAACTACCTCTCGTCTTCTTTCCCACTTCTATGCTGATTGCCTTTACCATCAAGCCTTTTAATTTGTTTATCCATCATTATGTTTAGAGGTTCTCTATTTGGCCTTCTGTTCTCATCTTCTTGCTAGGCTATTGCCAGACAACCAGAGAAATGGCCCTGCCATGACACTCTTCTTCCCCAGAGGAGATTATTCTCTCCCTAGCTCTTATGCTGTCCTCTACCACACACTGACATTGTACCATTAATATTCCATACCAAATTCAAGTAGTAACTTGTTCTGGAGTTAAGCACACACCTGCCTCCCCACCCACCCACGCACACGCTTTTCTAGTTTACACGAACTTTCACTTTGTTGACTATAAAATGGCACCTTCAAGCTTAACCTAAATAAAGACCCAAAACAATGAAATCAAGTTGACGAAATGAGGTACAAAGCACCGCATCACAGGGATTAGAAAATTTTGTATTTGTATTTGACAAAGATTTTATTTTGATTACTCTAATTGCACAACAGTTTAGAATAAATACAATTTCTCAGGCTGACAAATTATTTCATTTTTAGGTATACTCACTGGGCACTTACACCTATTTTCCATACTCTTACCCACAAAGCAAATATTAAAAGGGTTCTTTTTGAGGTTTCTGTCTGAAGTAAAAGTAACTCTGGGAGAATGTATCTACCTTATCCTCTCTCAAGTATTTGTAAGTTATTCATAAAACCAAATCTTTCTTATGTAAAAAGGTATTACTAGTAAATTGATCAAAATTAACATTCTTCATTGTTTTCTAACTTTGGATTTTTTTTACATGTGTATCTGTTACCTATAAAAAACTAAAACTTGGAGTAACATCAGCATCATGGCAGAGTAAGAAGGCTTCTTTGTTTCTTACCTTAAATTTACAAGTTGGACAACTATAACTCAACATACAAACACACCTGAAAGATCCACGCATTGGGGCATCTGAAAGTGGGCATAATGGAACGAGTAGGGGAGGCAGAATGGGGGGAAGGATTGTGTCGGCAGCCACTGTCCAGTGCTCACCATGGCTCCAGTGAGTGTGGTAGCAGTGGGGAAGTTAGGTTGCAGTGTTCACTACGGCCTGTAGTGTAAGAGGGGCAGAAGCAGTGTTTCTCTGGGGAAAGGCATCTCCCTTTCCCCCTCCCCATTGTAGTAGACCCAGATAGAGGTGGCTGGGAAGCCTTAAACAGTACAGCAGTGACACAGGGAGCCATGAAATCACTTGTCTCCCTTGCCCCACCCATTCCGACAGAACCAGGTAGAGGCAATGTAGTAGATGCCTCCAAAAACACAGCAGGGCCAGTGAACACTAGTAAGAAGAAAGCTGTGCTAGGAATTTGCAAAACCAGTTTTCTACCACCTGTCACATTCCCCCCACCACAGTGGTGATATCCCATAACTGAGGGCTCCTGGTCACAGAAGGGACACCCACCATCCCAGTGGGTATGCAGCATTTTCCTTAACTGCAGCGACACTGCTCCTCCACCATGATCCAAGAGGTGCAAATAGTGCAGGTAAGAGAAAAAAAATTACCCTATAACACCATCAAAAGAAAGTACCCTACCTATCAACCTGCTGAATTATTGAGAGCAAAATAGTATCTAAACAAGAAAAGAGTTCACTACCTCAAATGTACAGAGGAAACAATTCGTCAAATACTATAAATAACCAAGGTAACATGAGAGCACAGAAAGAAAATGTTAACGTCTCTAGAAACCAAATTCAAAGTCATGGAAGACTGTGACTTAAATGACAGAGAATTTAAGATTGCAGTTATGAAGAAGTTCAACAAAATACAAGAGAACTCAGAAAGGCAATTCAATGAGTTCCAGTGAATAAGCAATGAATAAAAGGAATAACTTACCAAAGAGACTGAAACTATAAAAAAGAACGAAATAGAAATTCTAGAGTTCAGCTTCTAGAGTTGAAACCTAGAAGTGATGTATAAAGGAGAGAACTAAGAGTTGAAAGAAAAAAAAAATGAAAGAACTCTACAAGAACCATCCAATTCCATTACAAAGAGCAACATAAGGATAATGGGAATGCCAGAACAATAAGAGAGGGAGAAGGGAACAGAGAGTCTACTCAAAGAAATAATTGATGAGATCTTCCCAAGCCTATGGAAAGAACAGCACTTTAGACCAGAGGAAGCTAACAAAACATCTAATTATATCAATACAAAAAGACCTTCTCCAAGATGTATTTTATTCGAACTGTCAAAAATTAATGACCAAAACAAAAATATTCTCAAGGCAGCCAGGGGAAAAAAAGACTGTAATCTACAAAGGAAAACCTGTTAGATTATCATCAGATTTTTTTCAGTAGAAATATTACAAGCCAGGAGAGAGAAAAACTATTCAAAATACTCAAAGAAAGGAACGAGCAGCCAAGGATAATATATCCAGCAAAGTTATCTTTTAGAGATGAAGAAACAAAGGCTTTCCCAGACAAACAAAAGCTTAGAGAATTTACCACCACAAGACCTGCATTAATAAGAAATGTTGAAAGGAGCTCTTCTACCAGAAACAAAAAGACAAATGTTTACAAAACTTTTGAGTAAGATGACTAACAGACAGAAAATTGCAGCTCTACTTCAAAATAGAATAAACAATTATAACATAAAGTTTAAAGAGAGGAAAAAGGGCATTGAAAAATAGCTATAACTACTGCAATTTGGTAACAAATGCACAACATAAAAAGAGACAATTTGTGACAATAAAATCATAAAAAGGGAGGAGGAAAAGGAACGGGTACAGGTAAATAAAAATAAGAGGTAATCAGAAGGACCATTGTATGTATGAAACATTTTACACAAACTTAATGGTATGTACAAAATAAAAATCCAGAGCTGAGACATAAAACATAAAAAGAGGAAAAAAGCATCTCCCTTTCCCCCTCCCAAACTAAAAGAGCAGACAGAATCACAAGGAAAAAGAAACAAATGGAAAATAAAAAAATAAAAACAAACAGAAAGGAAATCCTCATATATCAATAATCACCATAAATGTAAATGGACTGAACTCACTAATCAAAAAGCACGGAGTAGCAAGATGGATTAAAAAACAAGATCAAACTATATAGTGCCTGCAGGGGACTCATTTCAGCTCCAAAGATAAACATTGGCTTAAAGTGAAAGGGTGGAAGAGGATATTCCAAGTAAATGGCACTCAGAGAAAAAAATCAAGTGTAGCAGTACTTATATCAGGCAAAATAGATTTCAAGATAAAAAAGGTAACAAGAGCCAAAGATAAACATTTCATAATGATAAGGTAGACAATTTATCAAGAATGCATAATACTTATCAATATATACATCCAATCTGGGAGCTTGAAAACATATATCGCAATTATTAACAGACCTAAAGGAAGCAACTGACAAAAACACAATTACAGTAGATGTGAACACCCCATATGCAGCATTGGATAGATCATCCAGACAGAAAGTCAATAAGGAAATATCAGTCTTAAATTACACACTGACGTAATTGATATTTACAGAACTTTCTATCCCAAAACAACAGAATACACAGTCTCAAATGCACACAGAACATTCTCAAGGATAAACCACAAAACTAGTTTCAATAAATATAAGAAGACTGAAATCATACCAAGCATATTTTCTGACCTCAGCAGTATGAAACTGGAGATTAACTACAAGTAGCAACCTGGCAAAACCACAAATATGTGGAGAATAAACGATATGCTACTGAACAATTACTGAGTTAATACCAAAGCAATCCTGAGAAAAAAAGAACAAGGTTGGAGGTATTACACTGCCTGACTTCAAATTATACTACAAAGTGACAATAATAAAAACAGCATGGTATTGGCAGAAAAACAGACATACAGACCAATGTAACAGAAATGAGAGCCCAAAATAAACCCATGCTTATATGGACAACAAATTTTCAACAAAGGACCCTAAAACATACAATAGAGAAAGGAAAAGTCTCAACAAATGGTGTTGGGAAAACTGGAAAGCCACATACAAAAGAATGAAACTAGACTGCTATCTCATACCATTAACTCAGAATGAATTTAATACTTGAACATAAGATTTGAAACAAAAAAATGCATAAAATAAAATATAAACACTAAACTTATGGACCTTGGTCCCAGAGGGGTTTTGTGAACTTGACCTCAAAGGCAAGGGAAGTTAAAGCAAAAATGTAAAAGCTTCTATATAGCAAAAGAAACCATCAACAAAACAAAAAGGCAACCAGCTGAAGGAGAAAAGATATTTGCAAATGATATCTCCAATAAGGGACTAATATCCGAAATATATAAAGAACTCATACAACTCAACAACAATAACAAAAAATCCTATTAAAAAATGGGCAGAGGACCTGAATAGACACTTTTACAAGGAAGACACAGATAGCCAACAAATATATGAAAAGATTCTCAATGTGACTAGTTATAAGGGAAATGCAAACCCAAACCACAATGAAATACCACTTCACACCTGTTAGAATGGCTATAGTCAATAAGACAAGAAATAAGTGTTGGAGAGGATGTGGAGAAAAGGAAACCCTCATACACTGCTGGTAGAAATGTAAACTGGTACAGCCATTATAAAAAACAGTACAGAAGTTCCTTGAAAAATTAATAGCGCTACCATACGACCCAGCAACCCAACCTCCTTCTGGGTATCTATGTGAAAAATGTGAAAACACTTATTCGTAAAGATATATGTACCCCTATATGCATTGCAGCTCTGTTTACAATAGCCAAGACATGGAAACAACCTAAGTGTCCTTAGACTGATGACTGGATAAATACGATGTGGTACATATATACAATGGAATGCTATTCAGCTATTAAGACGAAACATTGCCACCTGTGACAATATGGATGAATCCTGAGAGTACTATGCTAAGTGAAATAAGTCAGATGGAAAAGGACAAGAACTGTATGCTTTTACTCATATGTGGGATATAAAACAAAAAGCAACAAATGAACAAACAAAACAAAAAACCACATTCATAGATACAGACAACAGAATGGTGGTTACCAGAAGGGGAGGACGAAATGGGCAAAGGGGTCAAATATATGGTGACAGAGGGAGACTAGACTTTGGGTGCTTGGCACACAATAGAGTATACAGATGTCATATTATAAAGTGGTTCACCTGAAATTTATATAATGTTATTTACCAATGTTACCCCAATAAATGTAATAAAAAACAAACAATAAAACTTAAAAACAACCAATCTATGGTCAAAATCAAAACAAAAGACCTAGGAGATGGCCTAAAAATGTTAAACTATTGAGGTTACATATGATCGATCATAAAGATTGAACAGGGATAGGAAGCAAAGAGAAGAAAATTTTCAACTTGGCTGGGGAGAGCCAGTACTCCCCACTGACAAAGGGACACTGTGCTCTAAGCCATGGTTCACCAACCTTTTTTGGCACCAGGGACTGGTTCTCCTATGAGAATCTAATGCCTGATAATCTGAGGTGGAGCTGAGGCGGTGATGCTAGGAGTGGCTGCAAACACAGATGAAACTTTGCTCCCTCACCTGTCACTCACCTCCTGCTGTGCAGCCCCTTTCTTAACAGCCCATGTACTGGAACTGGGGGTTGGGGACCTCTGCTCTAAGGAAGAGTCAGTAAGGAGATGAGAATTGGCTCCAGATCCCCCAGCCACTCCTAGGGCCCTTCTGATGCCAGGATTATCATTCAGGTGTTCTGAGGCAACATAAGCAGGACAACCCTCTAAGCCTTCAGAGAAAAGCCTATTTACTTCACAGATCAATTCCGCTACTGCGCATCAACCAGCTGCATGGAGTCACTGGGAAGGGATCTTAAACAGTTGCTTCAAAATCTGATGTTTGAAGCTTATTCTGTGCTATAATCTCTAGATTAGGCAGCTGGACACCTGCTGACTTTAGGCAACGACTTTCAACTACAAGCCAAGTAGCATAAAGCAAGACGGCAAAGCAATAAAAATTTTTAATGTCTTTTTTTTCTTGTCTCTCGAATGTTCTAGCTAGGCCTGACCCTCCCTCTCTCTTTTCACTCAACAAGTGTTTATTAAGAATGTACTATACGAGAGACACTGTGCAGATACAAATGTGAACCAGACATGGTAGGAAACCCTAGTGCTTTCCCCCTATTTTGCTTCTCAAATGACTCCCTCTTCCCTGACGACAAACCCAGTCCCCCTCCAGATAGCCCAACTCTGGAAATAAAACAGTTAACTGTTTAAAAAGAGATTCCTAGTTTAATGGGAGTAATATTGTGGAACAATCAGCAGCTTAAATCTAACGAAGGCAGCACGGTTACACAGGGCGGGTCTAAAATCCTACTGCATGGCCCTTACCGTAACTCCCATCATAAACCTAGACAGACAGGTTCTAGGGGAGTTAGCAGGTTGTCAGAGCCGATGGAATGCCCTCTCCCCTGCCCGGGCCCCCTACTCTGGGCCACTGATTTGATCCTCCAAATTCTCCTGGGGGGTGGCGTGAACACCCACCTGCGGGTGGGCCGCCGCTCAGCACAGAGGCGGGCTGTAGTGTGTACACGGTCTTAACCACGCTAGTCATAGTGACGAGGCGGCAAGGCTGGGCCCTGGAAAGTGCAAGGTGAATGTTACCCCACGGTGGGCCAGTCTTCACCACTCCCCTCCCGCCCGCTTCTCCAGCAAATGAAGAGCCCGGGAGAGCACGACCCGACCTGCCCCTGCTGCAGATCCGACCTGCCCCTGCTGCAGATCCGACCTGCCCCTGCTGCAGACCCGACCTGCCCCTGCTCCAGGGATGAGTCGGGATAGTTAAATCCTCCATTCCCAGCCCATCCCGTCCGCCCTCCACATCAGCCCAGGCCCCCGCCCCAGGAGAGCCGAACCCAGTCGCCAGTAGCTCCTGTCCGCAGTCTTCGTCGCTCTGATTCAAAAGATGCTCCACGGCAACTGCCGCAATGCTGCTCGGGTCTGCCGCCTGTGTTTCAAATAGAAACTTCCGGTGGCCGGGTGGGAGGGGCTGCGATACGCATTTTGTAGGCGGCCATGTTGGACGTAAGGCACTGCTGTGTGCGACACCTTCGGGGGCTGCCATGCTGTACGGAAGGTCTGAGCCGAGGCGCGAGCCTAAGCTTCCTCGAGGTGGTTGTTGGAGCCCCCGAGTCTGGGCAGAGGAAGGGAGTGGTGCACCTTGCCGGCCTGATGGAGCTATGAGCCATCGGCGTCACTTTCTGGGCTTGGGACGGAAACGCTGTCACGTTTAGAGTCCATGTCACAATCCTCTTATTTGGTCTGTGATTGTCTGGGGTATTGCATGATGCCTCATTGTCAAGAGCAAAGCGTATTTGGATGGGCGTAAAACTACACATTGGAGGATGGAGAGTGGCAGGTGAGGTTTGATGAGGGCTATGGGCTGAAATACCTGAGGCACCTGGATAACTTTAACAGCAGTTATCCAGATTTTAAGTAGAGATTCAAAGCTACTCCTAGCGAACAGGGCAGAGTTCTCAAGCATTTTAATTTACTCGTTCATTTCACCCAACAAATATTTATTTTGTACCTGTTATGTTCCAGACCACTATCGTCAGTGGCCTGATGGGGTGCGGGGCAGCAAATATCAATACTGACCTCGGCTCTGCCCTTTTGGAGTTTACAATCCAGGAAAGAGTAAACGAACAATCACATGAACTTGTCAATTATATCTCAATTAAACTTGACAACAGCCAAATGAATATATATTTACCAACTGCAGTAAAACTATGAAGGAAAAATACAATTTGCTATGAGAGAGAAAAGCAGGGAAACCTAATTTGAATTGGGGATGCAGGAAAGACATCCGAGTGATGTTTGATTAACAAAGGACCAGCGGGAATTAATCAGATGAACAGTGGGGGAAAGGGGAGAAATGAAAAGCCCTAAGGCTTGAACGGTTTTTCTCCTAGAAGAGGCTGAAGGATGAAAGGAGAGGGGTGCAGATAAAGCTGGAACAATGGCAGCCTTTGTAGGCCAAAGGTAAAGAGATTAGGTTTTATCTTAAGAGTAATGGGCAGTCATTTAAGTATTAAGGCAGGAGAGTATTATTCAAGTTATATTTTAAAGAGCTCATTCTGGTTACCCCAGGGGGAATGGTTTGAAGGAGATGAGAGTGCAGCTAGGGAGACAATAGGGAGGCTACTGTAATCATTCAAGTGAGAGATGTTGGTGGTGGTATTAGTGGAAATGGAGAGAAGCTGACACATTTTAGACAGCTTTTGGAGGTGGAATCTCAGGACTCAGTGCTAGACTGGAAGTAGGGTCTGGAGTGGGGGGATAAGGAAGAAGGAGATCTTAAGGATTACTCCCAGGCTTGAATAATTGTGTAGCTTGAGTCGCTATTTTGTGTTGGGGGAGATTGAGAGTTTAGTTTTGAACATGGTAAACTTAAAATGCCTCTGAGACATTCAAGTATTTAAACTATCAAGTAGACAGTTGGAAATGTAGGCTTTGAGCCCAGAGGAGAGTCTACGTTGGAGATACACTCTTGGGAGTCATGGGTATATGGATGCATATTCATCCACAATATTAGATGAGATCACAAGGGAAAAAGTGTACAGAGAGCCTTGGGGCCAAGGACAGGGACAGCAGTGTTTAGAAGGTGCGATAAGAAGGCGCCAGCCAACAAACTTGATAAAGAGGTGCCAGAGAGGTGAGAGAAAGAAAAAAAAAAAGTGGTATCCTAGAAGGTCAGAAGAAAGAAGTGGTAAACCGCTGACAAAGGGAGTGGTAAACTATTGAAAATAACTGAAAGGGCAAGCAAGACGGAAAATAAAAAGGATCCATTTAATTTAGCAACAAAAAAATCATTGGTGAGTATAGGAAAAGAAATTCTAGTGGAGATGTTTTAGTGGAAGCCATGTTGGAACAGGCTGAAGAATGCATGAGAGGTGAGGAAGCAGAGATGGCAGGTATAGACTCTAGAGTTTGTGAATGGAGTAGAGCAATTGGGCAGTAACTGGATGTGGGTTGGGGGGGGTCTCGAAGATGCAGATTCTAGTTGATATATATGCTGATGAGAATGAGCCAGCTGAGAGGAAGAAATGGATGCTTCATGGGGGGAGTGGGAATGATCAAAGGAACAAATTCATAAAGAAAGAGGGAAGGAAGGTGGGATCTAGAACAGCATCTTCAAATTCTTTTCATGTACTCCCACAAAATAATAGAACAAAAAAATGTACCCTCTCACCCATTTTTAGTTGATGCCTAAAATTTTCATAATTTTAAATATTTATAAAGGATATACTTTCTATCTATTATATATTATATATGATCTTATTCATTTCTAAAATTCTATTTTGATATTTCATTTTGGATAATTTGCTATGTCTTCAAGTTCACTCTTTTTTTCTGCAGTGTCGAAACTGTTTTTAATTATATGCAGTGATTATTTTTTTATCTCAGACATTTTAGTTTCTATCTCCATAAGTTTGATTTGGGTATTTTAAAAATATCTTCCAAGTTTCTATTTAGCTATGTGAACATATGGAATACAGTTATAATAACTGTTCTTGATGTCCTTATCAGGTAATTTTCATATAAGTATCAGTTCTGAGTTGGTGTCAATTGATTTTCCTCCTCACTATGAGTCATATTTATCAGCTTCTTTGCATGATAGGGTTTTTTTTTTTTTTACATTTTTGGGTGCTGGTTATTTTTGTATTTCTGTAAATATTCTGAGGTTTGTTTTGGGATGCAGTTAAATTACTTAGAAACAGTTTGCTCCTTTCAGGTCTTGATTTTAAGACTTGTTAAGTGAGAATGAGCAATGTTTAAACTAGAGCTAATGAGTTCCCACTACTGAGGCAAAACCCTTCTGAGAACTTAAACCAATGCTCCATAAATTATGAGGTTTTCCAGTTTGGCTAATGAGAATAGGCAATGTTCCAGCTGTGTGTGACTACTGGCTACTGTTCTAATCCTTGGCCTCATAAATCCTGGGTGGTTCTTTCCTTGGCCTCAAGTAGTTTCCTCACACTTAGATGATGAGCAGTGCTCTGCTGAATACCCAAGGGGGCGCTTCGCAGATCTCCAGAATTCTCCTTCTCTGTGCACCTTTCTCCTCTCCAGTATTCTTTCCTGAGCATTCTAGCTATCTTGGTTGCCCCAAACTCTGAGCTACCTCCTCAGCTCAGAAAGTCTATCTGGCCCTGTCTGGATTCTCCTTCTCTGCAATGCATCCTGGAAACTCTCTCAAGCAATAACTCAGGCAATCACAGGGCTCACCTCATTTGTATCTTGTCCATCAGGGATCACTGTCCTTTGTTGTCTGACATCCCGAGTCATGGAAACTGTTGTTTCATATATTTTTTGTTTGGTTGGTTGTTTCAGGAGGAGGGTAAATCTGTCCCCTACTACTCCATCTTGGCTGGAAGGGGACATTATATATGTACTTTAAATATATTCTTGTTCAAACCATGAAGCTTCAGATTTATTTATTTATCTTTTTTTGGTTATTTTTTATTATGTTATTTTTTTATTTAAGAAATGATTTTAATTAATCCTCCCCTCCCCCTGCCATCTACCTCCCCTCTCAGATTCAAATGATTCCATTTTTGGAAAATGTCCACAATATATCCTATTTGCAAAGCCAGTCTTCTGTGTCATACTCAGCTAAATCACATTGACTTTCCATCAGAAAAAGTCTGATTTTGTTTCTATTAAAAATTTTTTTGTTTTTAATTTTGTTTTTCAATTCAAATAATTCAAATTAAATGGAGAAAGCACAGAACTGAGCTACAGGGCTGCCCCTTTGAAAATTCCCATAGAAGCTCTCTAGGCTTTGTGCTCTCAAGGACTTCCTCAAGTAGAGCATTCTCAAGTAGTCCTTTTGTTTTTTATACTGCAGAATGAAGTGCCAGAGTAGGATTCAAAATGAAGGAGGGGGTCAATTGGGAAAGTAGAGGTGGAGGAGAGTTGGCTGACCTAAGGCTCCTTCATAGGCTAATGAATATGAGAAGGAATATATGAAGGAAGAAGCTCTGGAAAATGATTCCCTTAAAACTGTCGGTGTCCACTTAACCTTTTAGAAGGTGTTCATGTCCCTGTGGGAATGCAAGCCCCATTGTGAAGGCCTCTGGTACAGTGTGTGAAGCCGTTGATGGAATAATTACCGCTTCCTTTGTTGTAATAGAAGGGATCGCGAAGAAGCAGGCAGGAGCAGGGATAGGTAAGCTGGGGACTTGAAGCCTTAAAGGTGAGGAAATTTCTATCTGATGCCCCCAGTTTTCTTTATGAAGAATGTGTTGTCTACTGAAAAGGGGGCTGTGGAAGGTGGAGAGCATCAAATATTTTAGGAAGGAAGAGAAAATATGAAAAGGTCATTACAAAGAATAGAAACTAGTAAGTAGAATGGAAAGTAGCTAGGCAGGGCTGAGAGTCCAGTTGAGGTTGATAGTTATAAATTCAGATCTACATCAATCTACCCAGCTGTGTGATTTTCTTTAGCAATACTGAAGCTCTGGTTTGATGTTTGTGAATTTGGTAAATGTTCATCTTTTCTCTTTTTTGAGGGATAACATGAATAATCACACAGAAGCCTGACAATAAGTATGTTTATCAAGGTCCTTCCAGGGCTCTTCAGCACAGGATAGCTTTGGACAGCCAGCCATTTACACAGCACATAATGGCTTTCTTTTGTTTCTCATCTTTCTAGTGAATTGCATTAAAATTTCTTCTCTTAAGCATAAACACCTCTAGACCTCGAGTTATAGTCACCCCTGTGAACAAGGGTGAGAGAAGAAAGGGTAAGGAAGGTCTGTTTCCTATCCCCAAGCAAATGGGTTCTTGATGCGTGGCATGGAGTGCCAGAGAGCTTGTCGTTGCCCACATGTATTATCAAAGGCCGAGATAAGGCCATCATAGAAGAAAAGATCAGAAACTCTCCAGACAATGGGTGAAGGTTGCAAATCGATGTATCCTCTTTCCTGACACCCCTCACCTGCCCCTCTGTCCTGGGAGAAGAATGGAATGAGTCGCAGGGTGCTGAGAAAGTTTGGCTTATAAATCTCTTGTGAGATGTCTCTTTCAGAATCAGGCTGAAGCTGGGATATTGCCGAAATATCATGGTATGAGATA